CCACTCCCCTCCCTACACAATTACGCCTCCACCTACAATCCCATATCCAAGTTTCAGCACTCCAAAACCCCATATCCTTTAACAGTCCCTCCCTAATATTAGCTAATGCATACAACCGAGGGAATAAATTTCGTAATGATTTATCCCCCACCCATTTATCGTGCCAAAAGTCTACGCAACTCCCATTCCCCACTTTCCACTTAAAACCTTTCCCTAACATTGCTTCTAATTGTTCCGACCCTCTGCCGAGACCCACAATGTCCTTCCACACACCTGACATATTCCAAGTCACAACTGACGTAACATCAGCCTCCTTTCTACCCCCATAATATTTCTCCCAAAGAACCCGCTTCCATAAACCATCAACACCATCACCTAGCACCACCATTTTCCCAACAAACTACAATTCCTCCTCTCCAAATCAGCGACTCCTAAGCCACCCCTCCCCTTATCCATACACACGTACTCCCAACTAACCCATGCAATTTTCCTATCCAAATTAACACCCCCCCAAAAGAAACTTCTTTGAATTTTAATCATCTCACGCAATACACCTTTAGGAATCTTAAATAAAGATAAATAAAATATAGGGAGAGCAGAGAGTACCGAGTTAATTAAAGTTATTCGACCTCCGAACGACAGCAAGGGGCTTTTCCAGGAGGCAAGCTTCTGGCGGAAACGGTCCAGCACTGGGTTCCAAAACTGTCTTCTCCCTGAATTCCCTCCTACTGGCAAGCCAAGATAAGTAAAAGGCATTTTGCCCACCCCACAACGCAAAATGTCAACTGCGCCTTTAACCCACCCTTCCGACACATTGAAGCCATACAAATAGCTCTTCCCAAAGTTGATCTTCAACCCGGAGATCAGTTGAAACCAATTCAGAATGGCCTTCACAACCCGTAAATTATCAACATCAGCCTTCCCCATAAACACCGTGTCATCCGCAAACTATAACAATGATAACAACATGCCTCCCCGTCCAATCTCGACACCCTTCAAGAGTCCTTCACTCTTCGCTTTTTTGACAAGCCCACACAAGCCTTCCACAACTAACAAAAACAAAAAAGGTGACAGGGGATCCCCCTGGCGAAGACCATTGCGAACTGGAAATTCATTCGTCGGACTTCCATTTATTAAAATGGAGATCTCGCTGTTGAAAGACACTCCCACATCCACTTCCTCCACTTCACCCCAAACCCCATTCTATTCATCATCCAATCAAGAAAGCCCCAGTCTACATAGTCGTAGGCTTTCTCAAAATCCGCCTTTAAAATGAAGCACTCTTGCTTCCTCCATTTCACCTCATGCACAACCTCATTCAGAACTAACACACTGTCGACCAGTTGCCGACCTCCAATAAAAGCTGCCTGTGACTCACTAATAATACCCTCCATAACCATCTTCAACCGATTGGCCAATACCTTAGCCAGTAATTTATATAGACAACCTATCAAGCTAATAGGCCTATATTCCTTGAATTGCTCAGGATTCAACTTTTTTGGTATTAATGCCAGAAATGAAGAATTTAAACCGTTGACTAACCTCCCATTGCGATGAAACTCCGTCACAAAATTCACAAAATCTTCCTTCATGGTGCTCCAGGCAAACTTTACAAAGTTAAAATTAAAACCATTTGGACCTGGAGCCTTGGAGCCATCACAATCATTTAGCCCCTCTTCAATTTCCTCTATGGTAAAAGGTCGTTCAAGCCATTCTCATTGTGCCTCTGAAATTCTTCAGAATGAAATCCCATCCATCATCGGTCGGCGCCACTGTTCATTCTGAAATACCTTGGTGAAGTACTTCACTGCCTCCGCCTTAACAAGCTCAGGTTCCTCAACCCACCCGTTATCACCGTAGATACCTGAAATTGTATTTTGAGCCCTCCGAGCATGCACACTCCTATGAAAAAATGCTATATTGGCATCTCCGAAGCTAGCCCAATTAGCTCTTGATTTCTGTTTCCATACTAATTCCCGCTGCTTTAATGTCTCCCTCAGCTCCTGAAAAGCCTCCCTTCGCTGCTTCACCTCGGCCTCATTCAACCCTTCCACCTCACATTTTTTATCCAGCCTCTCAATCTCATTCCTCAATTTGTCAAACCGGGCCTCCACATTGCCAAACACCCTGTCATTCCACCTTTTGCATTCCTCTTCAATTTCGACTTCTGCTTGCACTTGTAGGCTGCCCATCCTTCAATCTACACCATCTTCCATCTTTCATCTATAAACTTTCTAAAATCATTATGTTGTTGCCATACATCGAGTACCCGAAAGGGCTTGGGGCCCCAATCAACACTTCTTGATTTCAAAATAATTGCACAGTGATCTGAGATTGACCTTCGAATGCCCTCTTGAATCCAATCTCCCTCCATTAAACTCATTTTAGTGGATAGCAAGAACCTATCGAGTCTACTCATCGAAGTTCCATCCGGTCTATACCATGTAAACTTTCTATTCCTCAACCGGATATCTACCAAACCCGTCTCTTGCACAAAAAGATTAAATTCTTCCATGTCCTGAGTCTCACCCATCCTCCCTTTCCTCTCCGCACTATTGCGAACAGCATTGAAATCCCCTGCCAATAGCCATCTCCCACCTTCATCCAATACTAACCTACGCAATTCCCCCCACAACACAACTCTGCGTTGCCTATTGCATAGCGCATAAACATTAACAAAAGTGCATTGAATCCGTTGTTGACCCCACTCCCCTGAAATCCCGATGAAACCTTGACCTTCAACTACCCTCTGTTTCACAAAATACCTCTTATTCCATATGCACAGCATACCACCCGAATTACCATTTGATTTTTGCATTACCCATTCAAAATCATCTGAGTTCCACACTAACCGACACACAGACATATCAATTTGTTCAAGCTTTGTTTCCTGAATAAACAAGAAATTTGGATTCTCCTTTCTTACTAACTTAGAAATCTCTTTTCTCTTCACCACACTACCCAAACCCCTAACATTAAATGAGATAACCTTCATAAGAAACTTCCATACCTCACCAGCTGACAACTACACAGATCCATCGAGTTATGCCTCCTTGAAGCTCGCCACCTCTCCCTCTTCCAGCGTGACCAACCGAGACAACACTTCATCCTCATTTTGATGACACTTAACCCCTAGTCTTTGCCCCAACATGAACAACTTCTGCACCTCATCCAGCTGGATCTACTACCGAATCACTCGGTTTCTATTATGGATACACCCATCGGACAGAGAGAAGCTTTCCATCTGCAGCTCCGGCCTGGGTTCCTCTCGGTTGGCCTTGCTTCTTCGATCCCTTCTGCATTTTGTTCTTGCAGTTACCCAACTCGCCTCCCCTGCTTTTAATTTTTTCTTCCCATCCACTGCAGCCCCGATACCCTCATTCCCCGCATATATTGCCCCTAAATCTCTGCTCTTCTTTATTTTTTTTTCCCTCATGTTGTTGAAGCAAACCATTACAAGTCAACAACCCACTAACACACCCACCTACAGCCTGTTGCTCACCAGACCTCGTTGCTGCTGGCCCAACCATGTCCACACCCTTCGGCCCAATTAAATCATCCCTCGCTAGCCCAACTAAGTCTGCCCCATCTAGCCCACACATCTCCATCCCAATTAATTCAAAATTTTTAAAAGACTCTCCTTCCGTTGCAGCGTCCGTTACAGCTTGAATATCGCCATTCATGGCTTCATCCTCTCCACAAAATCCGGAAGCCATTAAGCCAGATTCGCTGCCATCATCACTGAAATATTCTGAAACTGATTCTGACATCAGATTCCTCTGCTCCCCGGCCAGCCACCAATCTGGATCCATCCTCCACTCCTCCTCAGCCACTTCAATCGGAAAAGCTTCATTACCCACCTTCAGGTGTATTGTTGCTGAAATTTTAGCCCTTTTTTCACACATAATGAGAACCCATCCTTCACACAAAAATGATTTGCTCTTCGTATCTTCATCCACGAGTATGACCTCGCCAATTAATCCCTCTAGCTCGGCAAAGCATCGCTCGCTCCATGAATGTAAAGGGACACCGAAAAATCGCAACCAAGCCAAACGACTTGCAGCTGAAACCGTGGATAAGGATGTTGGTTGCACCCATTCGAACCATAACTCTGTTAGCTCCTTATTATTCTCTATGAACTCCACAAGACATCCTTCTGAATTATCAATCAAAATGATCTGTCAACCTCATAACAGTGCAACATTCACCATTAAACCATCAACATCCATCATATGTTGAATTTGTCTCACCATATGTAGAGACCGGACCATAGCCACCATGCTCCTATTCAACCAAGCCACTTCTTCATCACTCGGCAAGAATTCTAACACCAAATTGCCTTGTATAGGGGATGTTGCTCCGGCTACCCCTTCCGTTATCAATGGCACAGACATTTTCTCTGTGGTTTTTTCAGGTATCACTGCAGAAGCCTTCATCGAGAAACCTTCCAATGCAATCCCATCCGCTGTTTCCTCCATTTCTCTCGTTGCCATCAATTGTCTATCCCTCTTGTTCTAGGACAAACCATCCGCAACTGCACCCGGACTAACAGCAACAGCCTGTGCATACGACCTCCCAGGCCTCACCCTCCCATCCCTTCTGACCCATTGTTTCTCTTCCCTTCTGTTTTGAGCCACCCTAAACTCAACCTTCCCTTTTTTCATATTCTCTGCCACCTTCACCTTAAGGCGATAGGAATCTAGCCAAAGTTGGATCTTATTTAATACACCTTTTAACCATTAATTCATATTGAAAAACAAAAAGGTTGATATTAATTTTAGCATTAATGTCACATTTTAATTTAATTGGTTTGATGCTAAAACGTCCATTAAGGACAATGGTATGTTTACCCTGCCGACCAACACCCTTACCTACACCCATTCGATTCAATAAATATAATATAATTTAAATAGATTTCTATAATGTTAAAAGCTTATCCCTAGCTTATTTGGGATATTTTATTTCTCCTTTCTGTGGTTCCTCACCTTAATTTATGTGAGACCTATGATATTAAATGCATCCACTCATTTAATGACATATGAAAGTTGTGTAAAAAAGTAGGACAAAAATGTTGTCCCAATAGTACCACCCAAAAAAAAAAAAGGTCCAAGTTGGTGCCACATCAGCGCCACATAGGAAACACCATTGAACTTAACAGAGAGCTTAACAAACTTTTGGATGGCGTCAAGATGTCCGTTGACAGAAGAACGACACTTGGCCTCCTCACGAAAGTTTAAGGATTATTATGAACTGTTTCTCAATAGAGGGAAAGTTCAAGGATTTTTACTTACATTAAACCTATTTACAAATGTTCATCACTGGTTCACGTTTGATTGGTGCCAAATGCTCTAATTTACTTTTCAACGAAATTACATTTTTCTTAGTGGAATGAAGCTAAAATTAATTTTTTTAAAATTTGTTTAAAACTCATTTAAAAATTAACTTAGAAATTTTTTTAATAAAGTTTTAAATTTATGAGAAAAAATTCATTTTTAAAGTAAGTGCTCTTTAAAGTTTACTAAATACTTTTTAAATCTTTTGTCTGGATCAAAGGGAAAATAGAGGGATTAGCTTTTACTTTAACCTTATGTTTTGGTTGAGAGGAATGGAGGGGAGTGGAGAGGAGGGGAAAAGGGAGGGAAGGAGAATTATTTCCTTTTATTCCCCTTTATTCTCCCCCTTTCTTTTCCCTCAACTGGATAAATAATCAAATTAAAATATAAAATAAAGAAAAGTAAAAATTTCCCCTCTCTCCCTTTCAATTTTTTTATAATCAAATAAAGAATTAATTTCCCTCCTCTCCTCTCCCCTTCATTCCCCTCAAACTAAACATATTGTAAGTGATTGGATTCAATTTATTATTTATGTTGTGGGAGAAACTGTAATTTAAATTGGAGAAGATTTGTGGGAATGTAAAGTTTGATGTAAAGGGCTAAGGTACCTTTTGTAACTAAATAATAGAAATATTTATTTGTTGGAAAAAAAAAAAAACTAAAAACAAGCCTGCAGATGATAGTATTATGCTGCTAAACAGAATCATTTAGCAAAATACTTTCAAGGATTACAGTGCTTCTCTTTGTCCAGATATGTTTATGGGGGGACATATCTTTCTTGACCCGAAGACGTTGCAACCTTGGATATAACTGAGATAGCCTTAACATGGAGGCATGTCAGGTGGTGGTGGTAACATTTTGGCCTCCGGAGATTCGCCATCTTTAACTATGAACGCCGTACCCATGCCCCATACCATGTGTTGATCAATATGGCAATGCATGTGCCATACTCCTATTCAAGAAGAAAAAAGAAATCAATGATATAACAACCATAACAATTTTGAAATGTCAGTCCAAAATTCTTTAATTCCTGATTTTAGAGGGTGACAGAACCAATTAAAGTTCGAACATTTGCACTAATTGAAAGTGCGTAATGAGTTGGAGAAACCCTTGAACAAGCAATAAAACCAATTTGCTGTTTTTCTGTTTATTTTTTTTTTCTTCTTCGCTCAAAACAAATGGAAGAAAGTAAACAATCATAAAATACAGGAACCACATATCCAAAGAAATCTATGAATTAATAGTTTGTATTACATGTTTCAATAAACTTTATTTTGAAGATAAAACTTATACGTACCAGGATTGTTAGCCTTGAATCTTATGGCCATCCATCCATTTCTTGGAACATGAATGGTGTTTTGAAGAGGAGGGTCCACCAGATTGTACGTTAAGGGATCCTTGTCCTTATCGAAATTCCATAAACCCAATCCCACAACATAAAAACTATGTCCATAAAGATGCATCCCATGGTCAGCACCTTTTATCAAGTTTGTCGCTTGGAAAACAAGCTCCACGGTGGAATTGTAATCTAGTACTCTCCCTTCCGTCCCCAGTTGCGGAATCTCCCACTCCATCGGTAAATAATCGGCAGTGAAGTGAAAAAATAATTGAGGAAAATCAGGAAGATTGGTCCCATACACTCCTTGAATGCATAGTAAGCTTGTAATATATCAATGCTGGGATTGAGGAAGCTTACATTGTTCACACTGGTTATGAATCTCAGCTACTCACCAGCTACACATAAGATTTTTTTATATAAACTAAACAAAATAATTTTTTTTGTTTGATTTTGAATTATTTAATAAGAGACAATCCTCTTTCATTTTTTAACTCACCACACTCATATATTGTATGACTTAAATTCAAAATTTCTAGCTCTACTTGGAGAAGAAATTATCACTGAACAACTAAATAATTCTTAGTATAGCTAAATATATTCTTTCAGGCCTAAATTTTGAGGGCTCACGCTTCCATCCTTAATCTTTAAAATTAAGTAATTGGCTCCTTAACCTTTTAATAGTTTTTAACCTTTTAATAGTTACTCCTTATTTGGTTTGACAAAAATTGGGGGAGGGGAGTGAAGAGAAATGGAAGGGTATCATTTTCCTTCCATTTTCCTCCCCTCTCTTCTCTTTCTCTTGTTTGGTTAGACTAAATTACAAAAAGAATTAAAGCAAAATACAAGAAAACTGCTCTCTTGCTCTCCTATTTTTTGTGAATCAATTAATAGAGAAATTTCTTTCCCTCCCCTTCCCTTCTTTCCTCTCAAACCAAATAAGTATGCACTTGTATATGTGTGTGTATATATATAGAGAGAGAAAGAGAGTATTAATGGTGTTTATGGTATTAATTTAACCTAGCTAATATTGATATTGGACAAATTTTCACCAATAATATATTCTGCTGATTCAAATAGAAAGTTATATATGAAAAATTCAAAATTATATACGGATTAAGAATAGATTTAAAAGAATATTTATCATGTGATATGTTTGGTTGACAAAGAAAAATTTTATTAATAAAGTACAAAAAGTACTCTAATAATATTTATCTTGTAATTAATATTTTTGTATTTAATTAATGAAAAATAAGTACGCTTCAAAAAGAATACCTGGGCAAGAGTTGTTTTTGCATGGACTGCCGAGTGAAAGAGTATAGAACAAATGTGTGTTTATTTCCATTGGCACATCAATTGGATGCTCCTTATCGGCTAAGCTCCGAAAACTAGGGGCAAAATTAATGGATGCTTCTGTCTCATTATATTCAGGAAGATAGGGGAACACCGGTGGCGAGGATGGAGTGTAGTTTCCATTATATTCTACAATAGCTGTGGTGGTGGAGTTGTTGTAAGAACCTGGGAGAACAGTGGTGTACACGCTGGCAGCCATGTAATAGTGATTGGGACTTTGGTTGGCTTCTAGAAGGATATCAACGGTCTGGCATGGGGTTAGGCAAATGAAGGTTCTATTGAATGGTTTTAGATAACTAGCGTCAGATCCAACCATCATGACAGTATGGTTGGCAATGGCAAAGAAGAGGTTATCTACCAAGATGGCCTTGACTATCCGAAGGAGATAAGTCAAACCTCTGCTTACCTTGAGTCTTAAAATTTTTGTAAATATATTGGAAAAAAGAAGGATTAGGTAATAATTAACATTGAGCATTAAACATGGAGATACATTCTGAATGTGAGGTAGTCCCTGTTCAAGGATTTATTTTTACAGTTAAATTGTAAAAAAAAAGAACTTAATAAAAATTGATCAGAAGATAATAATTAATATGCTTTTTAATTCAACATATCATACAATATATTTATTAAAAAAGTTATTATTTTAAATATAAATTAAAAGTGAGAAAACTAAAAGTTATTTATTTTAATTGCTAAATTAGTAAGTGTTATGGGGTACGTTAAATCGAATGGTGTATTAATCATTTTAATAAGAATTTTCATACATCTATATTTTTTTTTTTTTTACCATTTTTTCACCTATATTGTTAGTAACAAATTTTCAACTACTTTAAAATTAGGTGAAGGCAGTTAGGACCAATAGTTTCTGATATTATTCACTTTTTTTTTCTTATTATATTATATGCATTTGTTAATATGTTAGCACCATTATTTTATTTTGAAGACATTGATGTCTAATTAAAAAGTAAAGAGTTTCACCTGGTTTGGAACAGGGATAAAGATCTCCAGGCTGGCCGTTGATGAGGTAGGCGTCCGAAAGGACTCCTAGGCCGGCGTAGCGTTCAAGATCTAGGTAAACCTGCATTATATCTTCTTTCCGCCACTCTCCTGCATTTTCAGCAATCCCAAACATTCCAAATCTTTATTTAATCAATGAAATTATTTTAAATTTATAATTATTTTTTTAATTACCTAATATGATGGGAATTTCTACATCGGGTTTCGGAAAAGGATAGGTTGTTCCTATCTTGGGATAAATAATCAGAGCACCATGGACAGTTGCTCGCAACCATGTGCTATGAGCATGCCACCACAAAGTTCCTTCTTCGGTAGTAAAAATGATCTTCTACCTAAATTTTGCTCCTGGTTGAATAGCACACTGAGTGATGTATTTCGGACCATCAGACCATGGATTTCTTGGCTGTTTCACTCCATGCCTGACAAAATATGCTACCAATTAATATCATGAGTAACATTAATCTAACCTCCTTTCAGTTTTACAATATTTAAGTAGTGATGAAATGGTTTGATATAATTAATACCAGTGAATGGTGATGTTATAATTTCCTCTGTTGTAAACATCTACAACGATGGTGTCTCCTCTATTAACATTTAAAGTAGGACCCGGAAATTGGCAATTTACGGTGAGTATGTTCTTCGTGCTGCATAGTCTCGTATACGGAGCTTCCTTCACCTACAGAAACAATTTATGATAAATACAATGGCATATTGTTGTTTTCTATTAAAAAAATCGAAATATGTACTTACAACAAACTCGTAACGTGGCCACGCTTGGCAGTGGTAGAAAGAGAAAAAGAGTAGGAAGCCTAAGAGTTTGTAAATAGAGACTTTCATAATGGATAGTAATGAGTTGGGATACAAATAAATGAATCAAACTGGGGTGGGGCTATAAATAGAGGCGAATGAGCAGCAACGGGCCAAGGAAGGACAAGGGGGGGCAGCCGCCACCCCAACCTTTTGAAAAACATTTAATATGGTACTCTAGCTTTTATTTGTTAAAAATTTTGTTTTTATATTATGAATTTCAAGGACTATTTTAAATATAGAGAAAATATTTAGGATCTAAATAAAAAGTTTTCAAAAAATAAAGATATAGTTCATGTAAAATGAATTTATGTCAATTAATTAATTAAGAATTAAGGTTCTTAAATAGTTTTTCATGTATTAAGCCCAAAAAAACTTTGATTATCTATTTAAACAACTTTAAATTTATAGTTCTCTTTAGTATTCTTTTATTTTCTTTCTTAATATGTTATGTAATAATTTAAAGTTTTTTCCTTTTGACATCAAGGTATATTTTTACCTTTTATGATTGAATTTATAATTTTTTTCTTTTGTTAAATTAATCTAGGTTAGAGTTTATTTTTTAAAAGAAATCTTTTTGTTTTTTTTTTTATAATATTAGTGTTTATCAATATGACCTCCAAAAAAAATTAAGAGGAAAACACTCTAAAACTACATTGCTTAATAAAATAAAACAATCTTATTCCTACTTTAAAAATATTTTATTCTTGTCTTTTTTAATGCAAGTTTATTAAGACAATTTAATTTTGTAGTGTTTTTCCTCATAATTTGTTAGTGATTCAGTTAACAAACATCTTTCTCTTTTTTTATTCATTCTTCAACTGAT